CGTAAACAATTGCCCACGATTTATGTCAACAATCCTACTAACTTTTCCGTCGTTTGGTAAGGAGAGCTATCTTCAAATGGCATAAATGTCAATGTAGCACGCGAATAGTGGTTTACTAGTGTGCCCGCAATCACCTAGGCCTTCCATTTTCATGGAAATCGCCTTTCCTGACGGCAGCACGGAGTCAAACTCATGCCGTTAACGCTGTTGCTCTTCCATCGGCTCCGTGTACTTATACTAGGGCAGCGATGGCTTCAGAGGCAACTGGCATGCTTACACATCACCTCTTGACCACCTTTCCTCTCATCGACGCATATGCGTGACGACCCAATCTTTTTACCACAACTCCTCTTCACATGTACATGACACTTGATCAAAGTAATTTACATAGGAAAGAAATAACAAAATAAAAATACTTGGTATGATATTGAGACTACGAAATACCCGGTCTTTGAAAGTGACTTTGTTCCGAGACCCCAATAACGAACTTGTTCATACTGTGGAAGTAATCATGCCGTACGATCAGTGGCTCACTTCGATACCGATTGTTTTAAAAGGCTGCATCTAACAACTCTGTTCACTTTTTATTTCAAGCATAAATCAGACGCACAAGTGGATATGCGTACACTGTAGTGAAAACAGAAATTTTCCCGACTCCTTTTCCCTTTCGTTGCTCAAAAATAAAAATTTTTACGCAGACTGGACACTGAACTCGATTGCATCCTGTGTATTTCTAGAAAAGAGGAAACATATTTTGGTGTTGTGTAATCAGAGGTGGGTACAAATTACCGCAAATAAAAGAGGGTGCAATTTCGGAATTGAACTTGTTTTAGCTTGCAAAATAAACGTGAGAACAAATAATGGGCTTTGAGATTTTCTAATAAATTTAGTAGAAAGTATTTTAAAATATACTCTCTTTTTACTATGGAATGTCCAAAATTATTGTGCAAGCAACATTAACCACGCTTTACCGACTGAAAAGAAGTTCAACATATTTCCGTAGATTCCAGTACAACTGCACTCATCTTATCATCGTCATACACCCACTTTACTTCAACTCGGTTTTCAAGATTAAAATGATCAATTGGAATTGAAATCATAATCCTCCGGTTAGAATTTCTTTACTCAAGAAGCCCACCTCTTAACGACTCCAGCTACCCTCCGCAGTTGATTCACAATTAAGATCAAAATTGAAAACCGCCAACCACTAAAAAATCTGCCTTTAAAATTTTACCAAGCATTCGCTCTGAGAATGCTCTGTCTAGCTATGATGCCAAACTTAAACCAGTTGATAAGTAAATAGGAAAAAAAGGGAGAAAAGCACAACTTACATAGACAAACAGACTACAGTTGAACTTGCGAGACACCAAAACCGGATAGTAAGAATCTTGGCGATGAGGTACTTACGCTTACCAGGATCTAATGTGTGACCCAGCTTCCACGTCATCCATTTGACGCCTTCTAATCAACGAAAAAGAGAAAACAAAAACCACCTTAGTCTAGATGCTTCTGAAAACGACCTACGTGTGTGCTGTGATTGGGTCATGTTGACTCAATCGGGCTGACAGTTACAACTCCTGGAAAAATCCAGAGAGCTGAAGCAGTAGTCAAGGTCAAGGCCCATTTACAAGGCAGAAAACAACTATAGGTAAATTTTGTAGGGATGGCAAGAATTAATCTGCTTTGAAGTCTTCAATTTGCAATATATGAAACAATTAACTTCATTATAGTACTGGAAGATTGGAGAGAAGAATCAACATTGCACATGAGTTACATAATTCAGATGGCAGGAGAATTACAGGTACTAGACCTCTTTGCATTGGTGGTGTGTTGACTAACGCGTAGCTGTGTTTTATCATGCAAATGGGCATAAACAATAACATGCTTTTGACAAGTCTCCACAAGTTATAACAAACCATTGCAATGAGATAATTTCTTGGTCAACCAAAATTACAATATGATAGGTAAGTTGAAATATTACTACCCATGAAAGAAAAAAACCCAAAACATGCGAATAGCTTTGCATGCCAAAAACCAATCAATGAAAAGAAACAAATATTACTTGATGGAAATGGGACTTACTCTCCTTCGTATCGGACGAAGCCTACCTTTTTCTCCTCCTCCTACTCCTCCTCCCCTTCTTTTCCCTTCCCCTCTTCTGGTTTCACATTTGTCCCACCGCCCACCTCCGGCTCGGCAGGTCGAGGTGAACAAGGCCGGCCGGGATGAAAAAGGCCCATACATCGTGGACAGAAGGCATGTTGACAGATGGGACAGCGAGCCAGATTATCATCCTCTGCAAGACACGTTTCCGAACAGCCAGGACGTGGACATCGCACCACGTCACTCATAAGAGCGAGACTGCGTTGCAACAGCAAGCCGTCGCAGACCTCGAACTGTGAGGGTGTTGCGAAACCTTTCACCAAGAAGTAAGTGAGAGGGACGTTAAAGTGTCTGATGTTATTAACTAACTCTGATTCGAGCTAATAAAATAGGAACTACTTCACGCCCCTTGCGTTGGATGGTGAAGAAAATAGCATATTTCGTGGATTTCGAACATGGCAAGTGTAATTCATCTCATCAACTAGGAATTAATAATAATCAGCAACAACTCCTGACAAAGGCAAGATTATTGAATCCACTTTGGATATTATTGCCTATGCTGCGATATCTTCAGAATGCAGTACGGTGCGTGCAACCCTCGGTGTTAAACACCAGTAACTGGGATCGATTCGATTACAAGGAGAGGGAGGGTGGGAAGCCGCACTCAATTTTCCCTATTCAGCAAACTAACGGGGATTTTATTCATCACCTATGTTCCAGAATATTAGTGCAAGATGCTGGCCGTTACTAGTAGATAGTAATGAGGTGAAGAATGACGAAACCAATTTTGAAGTGCTATAGAGCCATAATGGCAAGGAGGCATGCTCACCATGGCATCAGCAACACCATTCTATAATCTTGTATCCGCTTTGCTAAGACTGCTCAAATCAGCGGTCTCCTAACTCCTCTTTCCACTTAAGATGCAGGATTATGTAGGCCTTATATCTATGATAGTTGACAGCATTTCATTCGCTCTTAGACTTCCAACTCATGAACCCAATTATTCTGAATCATCATAGACTAGAACACCAAATAAGAGAAACTCCAGCTCCTAACGTGTCAATTTTCAATGGGATTGAGGAATTCCATCCAAAACTCAAAAATGGGCGTTTTTCATGTTTCTTTGGAGTTTGTAATGCGCAATAATGAGAACTACACTTGTGTATAGCAAAAAAACAATTCCACTGATCTAAGCTAAATAAAAATATAGAAACAACTATGAACATGCCTCGACGTTAAAGTGAGTAATTCTACTATTTTAGCGCAATAATACTGGTATAGCAGAACTTACGTGAGACAATGAGATCCTGAGTGTGACCAACCGCACCTCGTGACCAACGTCATTATACACAATCCCATTGTGATGCAAAAATACGCACAACCGCCCTCTTCACCCAAGAAAAGATTAAGGTGATCGTTAAGCTGTTCTCCTGGGTCATGCCGGTTTATTTCAAGGTCATTATTCAACAGCATCATTACAAAGTAACAGACACGCAAAAATTAACAAGTAAAAACATGCGAATAAATCACAAGATATGAATTATTGCTGACAGTGAGAGTTAATTCACAGTCCAGACCGCCTAAGCAAAGAAGGGTTTCCCTTGTATACACTTTTGGTTAAGCTGCAGTTCCATCGTATTAATCAAATCACAAGGAATCACACTGATTCCAATCTCCGGCTGGTTGTGCCAAGTTGTGGCCGAGCCACTATCATTTAGCGCCAGTCAAATAATGGCACTAGTCTTTACCCGCTCACCTCATTTAACTCCACCGCCCCATTGCAGTGCAGATAACGAAACACACCAGCTATGACACCCTTTGCAATGTGCACAGACAGCGCCTCACTCAGACAATCATTACACGTCACATGTTGGCATGCGGGTTAACCGGATGCAGTCCCGACCAATCTTCTCATCGTCCGTGTAGATCAGGCACCTATCTCCGCCAGGATATACTCTCGTATATGACGCGAAAACACGGTGTCTTTTATATTGTCGGCATATATTCCACTCACTTTTCCCCAGGCCAAGACATGTGGAGATGGGTTTGAGTTCCAGGAACTCGAAACACTCCCACAAACATGGCTCTCCAGGCTCTCACACTTAAGTATCTGTTCAACTGATTGACGATGGATTGGGGACGGTCAGGCATGATCCAGGGGCATTCGAGAGAGAGAACAGGGATGGTGGTTGTTGGGTACTCTGAAGGAAGTGTGAAGCGAACTATGATTGGTGGAATGTGCCCAACGGAGTAGACCTTGCAAAAAACGTTGCTTGGTCGAAAGAATTGTGGTTAAGTGGATGAATTGAGTTTTCTGGTTTGTGAGGAGACACGAGTTCGGATGTGGAGGCAGGCAGAGCTGGGGAGTAATTTGGGATGCGCCCTGTACTATCCACTCATGAAGATGTTTTCGGGACCCTTGCTGAAGTGATAATTTACTGGATCGGATAACAATGCGTGTTTCAAGCTCCTCCTTTCCTCCTGCTGAGACATTGTATCACATTGTGTGGAACCCAAGCTGCATCATTAGGCAATACAGACGGAGGAACCATTGAATGTGCAGTAGTGCTTCCATTGCTTACGACAATTTGGCTATCTGATGTTATCAAGATGGTACGGAAGAAGTGCGTTTGTGACTTCTCTACTTAAGATTCGATAAAGAGATAATATCAATCAGTTTAACCCACATCGACATTTAAAACAGGTTATTTCAAGAATACTTATCGAGAATCAAGTCCCACGCATTCCTTTCGACTGTTGTTTGGAATGTTGAATCGGCTCCAGGATTTCTCATTCGTGGTTGCCGTAACCCTGGCTGTTTGTATGTTTAGAGTGCTCTGCATCTAGCACAGTGGCACGGATATCGTGTAGCAATTCAGCCCCCTCAGAGGCGATGACCTCTTAACAGCGAACTTTATCTTCCACATTTATTAGCCAATTCCATATACCTGCCGATTTCAGCACGGAACCACCCCTTCAACAATCTAGCCTTGTAGTTGCCACCCGGCACTATCTCAATACTGCAAAATAACCCACATGCTCGAAAAACAAATTCAGAGAGCGGTGATAAAACTTCACCATGTTTAGGTGGTGTTTGAATTACCTCAAC